ATACCTGAAACTAATATAACGTTATATGTCAATTATACCTCATACACACACACACACACACAAAACAAACAGAAAAAGAAATTGCTTCAATCAAAAAAAAAAGGGAGAGAGAGAAGAAAAAAACAATCTTAAAATTTGTATGGAACTACAAAAGACCCTGAATAATCAAAGCAATCTTGAGAGAAAACAAAGCTCCCTGATTTCAAACTATATTACAAAGCTATAGTAATCAAAACAGTATGGTACTAACGTAAAAGCAGACACACAGACCAATGGAACATAATCAAGAGCCCAGAAATAAATCCATCCATATATAGTCAATTAATTTTTGACAAGGGAGTCAAGAACACTCAATGGTGAAAGGACAGTCTCTTCAATAAACGGTGCTGGGAAACTAGGTATCCACAAGCAAAAGAATGAAACTGGACCTCTAGCTTACACCACTCACAAAAATTAACTCAAAATGGATCAGGTACTTATATGTAAGATCTGAAACCATAAAACTACTCAAAGAACACATAGGAGAAAACCTCCTTGACATTGGTCTTGGCCATTAACTTTTTAAATATGAGTCCAAAAGCACAAGCAACAGAAGCAAAAATCAACAAGAGACACTAAATTAAACTAAAAACTTCTACAAAGCAAAAGAAACAATCAACAAATAGGGCAACCTATAGAATAGGAGAAAATATTTGTAAATCCTGTATTTGATGAGGGATGTATTTCCAAAATATAAAAAGAACTCATACAACTCAATAACAAAAGAAAAATCCAATTAAAAAATGGGCAGAGCACTTGAATAGACATTTTCCAAAGAAGATATACAAATGGGCAACAAGTACACAAAAACGTGCTCAACATCACTAATCATCAGTGAAATACAAATCAAAACCACAATGAGATACCACCTCACACCTATTAGAATGGCTATTATCAAAGACAAGAAGTATCAAATGCTGGACAGGATGTGGAGAAAAGGGAACCTTAGCACAGTGTTACATTTCTAATGTAAATTGGTACAGCCACTACGACAAACATTATGGAGGTTTCTCAAAAAATTTAAACAGAACTGCCATAGTCCAGCAATCTCACTTCTGGATGTATAACCAAAAGAGACGAAATCATTATCTTAAAGAGATATCTGCACTGCCATGTTCATTGCAGCATATTCATTCACAATGGCCAAAACAAGGAAATAACTTGTGCCCATTAACAAATTAATCCATAAAGAAAATGTGGTATGTATGTGTGTATATATATAGTGTGTAAATATATAATTATTAAGCCATAAAGTTTGTATACTTGCAAGTTGCTATAAGAGTAAAGCTTTAATATCCTCATCATAACAACAAAATAGTAATTATGTGAGGTGAAGGATGTGTTAACTAAACTTATTGTGGTAAACAGTGATCAATATATACTCGTATCAAATCACCACATTGTACGCTTAAACTTACACAATGTTATATATCATTTATATCTCAATAAAGCTGGGAGGAAAAACCCAAAAACACTGGTCTTGCAAAAGAACTATTCTCAAGAGGGAAAGCAGTTAAATGACTTTTTAGTCCATTACCTTTTGTTGTGTTTGTTGTTGTTGTCATTGTTATGATAATCTCTGTGCATGAATCAGAAAGCAAAAATTGATAACATATTGAAAATACGTATGCATAGAGAAAAGGCTGATGTGTACATCCTTTAGGAAGAATTCCAATTGTTAAAATCAGTTAATGTATATTGCATTTAAAATCTATGTTGAGGATTGTTTACTGCTTATGTCCAGAACTACAGGACAAACAGATCTGCCTTAAACCATCAAGCATATTAAGACTTATTGCTCTCAGACGGTTTGTTGTTTTGCTGTTTGATTTTAGAAAGCTTTTTGAGTCATATATTATTTGCTACTTGGGAATATTTCCTTAATAACTTAGCACTTAAGTCGTTGGGAAATAAAGTCTTCATATGGAAAAGTTGTAAAGCACCTTGAAATGGACCAAAAAAATTACTGAATGCCTTGTCAAGCGCAGTCTTATGAGTTATTTCTGCTTTTCATTATCTTTAAATTATCTTATAATCCTGTTAATTGTAAAAACAAACAAACTAAAAAGAATAATGCAAATTATTCTGCTCCATAGAAATATAAATTAGTTGAGTCCAATGAAATGCAATGCAATTAATTATTGTCCTGGACAAATCATATTCATTTCAGCATTCCTTATCTATTTTTGTGTAATATTTTAAATTCTCCTTTGAACCCACTGTAACGTTACTGGTTCCCTAGTTAGTTAATGAGTTAAATATTTGGTACATGTTCATACCATGTTTGTATGGAAAAAGTATTTCTCCTTGGATTAAAATAATTTTGACTTACTATGTTACAGTCAGAACAGTTACAGAACCCCATTTAGCCTCAATAAATGGAATATAATGTCACTTTATGTTTTCAGGGTAGATCTGTATACAGAGTATCCACAAAATTCAGGGCCATTTGTGAAGATCAAATCCAGACAGGAAAGTAAAACGCTTCTTCCCTGGCTCCCTTGAGTCTCCTCTCTTCCTGGTACATTTAAGATACTATTACTCATCTGAGGCAGTTATTGTGAAGTCTGACTAAGATAAGTATACATAAAGCACCTAGCATAATTTGGCACCAAGCAAGATTCAAAATGTTAATTACTTTCACCTTTGTAAAGAATCGTATGAATAAATGTTGAAATTATGTTTCTTTCATATATTTTAGCACCCAATAGAGCTAATACTTCCTGATTAGAAAAACACCACCTTTTAAAAAGCATATCAAAGGCATTAACACTAATGGCTAATTTAAAGAAATAGCTAAAATGTATTCAGCACTGTGCGCCAACCTCTGTGCTGAGAGCTTTACAATCATTCCCTCATATGATCATCTCACAACAATCTTACAAGGTACATCCTAAGAACTTTAAAGTGGTGGCCCCATTTTGTCGATGAGGAAACTAATAAAATGAGTATCACAAACATGGAACATGGCTTCAATACCTCAATTTAAACCTTGAAAATGGGACATGTGTTTTCTGTACTGAAAGGTTAAGAGGTAAAACATCTGAAAGTTCACTGAGCCTATGGTTCATTAACATAGTTTCAATTTGAGTTAGGAGTTTTGATTGCTTTCACCCTCCCCAAATGGAGCTTTTCTTAGGATCAATTCTGATGATTGTTGACAGCTGGCATTTTACTTTGTATTCCTCTATTTTTGAACCTCAGCTCTTTGCTACTAACAGTATTTTCCTTTAAATTTGAACACTGCTACACCTTCCGGGTATAAGACTTAGGGGGTACCTGCACAACTGAGTCCTCAACTTTCTTTGAAGCAGAAATAAGCTGCCCAGAGATTGTCCCAATGCTTCAGGCACTTCCTTTAGCCATGCAAGCCTCCTCCTGAGAGTGCTTGAGCTTCTGGCAGCACAAAGCACGGCTGACATCTGGTGGGCAGAAATAGTAATTGCACCACTCCCGCCTGGGACTCCACATTCTCAACTTGGGTATACTCTCCTGAACACAATAAACTGGAATCCTTTCCTCAGCCATCAGGCACTTTATCTCTGAAGCAAAAGCCAGGTTTGCATAACAATCTTAAATTTCCTCTAAAGTTCCATTTAGTCTTCCAAATCTCACAGAAGATGGTTTTTAATGTAAACTTTGTGAAAATAAAAAATATCTTTTGAATGTTCAAAAGAAAAAAAACATCATTTCCACTGACATTTTTAAAGATGACTGAAGTACTCCTTCATAAAATACAAGAAATTTAGTTCTATCCCTCAGCATCTTTGCATATCCTTCTATATATGGATCTGAAGTTAATCAGAGGTAAACAACTTCAAGCACTTCTTAGCCATTCAACACACATTTACTAGGTGCTTACCAAGTCCCAATTAATATGCTAAATCTGAGATATAAAGATAAATAAGATGTGGTTCCAAATCTTACAATTCAGTGCATATGTGATCACGTTCATTTTAAATAAGAAGTACATTACACAGTCATGCACTACTAATTCATGTATGTAACTCCCAATTTCTCTTTCCCAATATCACCTGGGCCACCCAGGACATGGTTTGATGCAGTATTATTGCCAAAAACCATACGCTGCATGCCATATTTTTCTAAAAGTCCAGGTTGTTATGAGTGATTTCCCCAATCTCCTCGGTATATCTAAATATCATGTTTTTCAAATTAATAAAAGAATAATAATTTCCTTGTTTCTCTGATAATCTTTAAAACATTTTACCCCTTCTTCCTCACTGGAAAATAATAATAAAGATGTATTAAAAAGAGCACTGATTTTCAAGCATGAAGGATTGGGTTCGAATCCTGACATGATGTCTACTGTGCACCAGTGGTGAAAGTACTTCACCTTCCCGCTTCTAGGTTCTCTCATCTATAAGGAGAGTAACAGTCAAACTCACAGTGCCTTCGTGAAGAAGGATTACATACAATAAACCTGTAAGACTAGCAGAGTCCTTGGTATCCAGTTAGCACAAAATTAACATTAATTCTTTCCCCCCTTTCTTTCTCCCTTTCAGCCCTTCAATTTCACCAAAATTTCTCATTGCTCATTACAGCTTACAAAACCTTACAACTTCCATATTTCAATGAAAAAAGTACATCTGTTAATGTAGGAAAAACATACTCTATGTAGAGGTAGTCTTCATTTGGTGAAATAAATAGCAACTCAATTTTTTATGAACTTAGGACTCATGCTAAACTGAAACCAAATATATTCTTTATGTAATTACCTTTAGTTCCTCAATGCCAAGTTTATGTTTTTTAGCACCTCCAAAACATTGTGGCTCCAAAAACATTAGTCATTCCACTTTGAGTCAGTTCCAGACAAGAGACATAGATTTCAATGCTTATAAGACTTGTTTCTATACCATCATATAGTCATGAAGCAAAAGAAATTTTAAAAGCCTCCCTGGTTAAGTCCCAGGCAAAATGACACAAGTATTAAAAACAGGCCATTTACGGTTCATAGTCTAATAAAATTTATTTATCCTCATAGGCAACATGTCTTTATTTATATCCAATTAAATTTTTCATTAATGTAGGTGAACACAGAAAGAAATCTGTCAAGTTCCTCTTCACAGCAGTTCTTTTTCAATTTGAGAATTTTAAGGTCACCTTTCTCTTTTCTTTTCCAAGTTGGATCATTCCAGCTCCATTCATTTTCCTCACAGAGCATGCCTTAAATTTTTCCCCTATATTTTTCTGACCAATTTGGATTTCTTGACATTGTACTAATGTTTAAAAGATTATAATTTCTAGACAAAGTACTGGAGAGGCAACTTACTAGGAGAGCATACTTTTCTAATCATGAGAGAAAATGGTTAATCTGTCCCATGGAAACTTTTGCAAGTTTCTTAGACAGATGTTCTGAGGAAACTAAACTCAACACATTTGGCACAAGAACTTTAAGAGATTGTTGTGAAGATCTTACAATCATACTTCTTTCAAATTAGTATTTAAAATTAATAAATGAAGTACTTTGAGGCTATGTCTATTCCACTTATTTATCAATACATTCAACATACATTTTGCATTGAACTGATAACATACAACAGACAAAATATACATATATAATTCTTGTCCTTAGGGCATTTATGCTGTCCCAGGAGAAAAATAATAGATACAGGAAATTGTATATGTTCAGGAAAAAAAAAAATAGAAACTTCCAAACAGAACAGAAACTGAGTCTGAAATTGTCAGAAAAATGAAGAAAAGAGGAATGATGAAAGTCAAATCGGATTATCTAAGAGCAAGCTTTGCAGGATAAACTCGTTTTGAAGAAGTGGGAAATACTTAGAAGTTATCTAGTCCATATCCATCCCACGTGCTTCACTTTAGTATGAGGAAAAAACACATTGATGAAGAAAGGCTGCTCTGATTTTGAAATTATAAATCTTGTTCATTACTGCTTTCAAGATCAGTTAAATTTAATTGGTTTTCCTCTTCCCAAATGAAAAGATTTTCACCCTCAAAAACATAAAATATTTCTAAAGTATTTCTGTTGCTAGTATTTAAGGATGTCTCAACTTGGCAAAATAGGCAGGCTTGACCAAGCATTTCAGAGGAGAAATGATAGTTATTTTCTCTTACTGCTTGGTTGAGATTCGTTCTTGAGTTCTGGAATCTATTATTTAATAAGTTGTTATTCTCATCAACTACTTCAAAGATTTCATTTGTCTGATTCCTAAGGTCTTGTGTATTTGAATTTACGTCACCCACAGCTAACAACGTGTGCAACAAATTCACACAAAACCTTTTCTTCACATATGATTGAAATTTCTTTAAATTATTTTCTTCTTCTAAGTCCACGATGTTAATTCTTTTTAACTTTTCTCTTTTTTTCATGTTATTGAAATAAAGCCAATGAAATGTATTGCTAATGGCATTATCAATAAATGTGTTTCTCCTACTTGCTTTATTGTTCTCATCTCTGAACATGTTCTTGTTTGACTTTCGTAAATATGGGTGTATTTTCATCCATAAATGGAAACTCAAGTAATTTTCAATATCAGAATCTTTACAATATGCAAATCCTCGGTCTTTCTCATTTATAGGCTGGATAATAACAGTTAGTATTGGGCAATGTTGGCCACAAATAAAATAGAGTTTATCCAAAGAGTCACCTTCCTGAAGTGCACCACCATGACTCACATTATTACCAGGCAATGGTTGGTTTTTGATAGTATCATCAGAGACAGGATGGACTTTGTTACCAGCAGTCGTAAAGACATGAGCGACAGATGTGCATACTCTTTCTGACCGATGATTACCCTTATCCTCTGCATGGTGATTTGGCATTCTCTCCTCGGCAGAAGTTTTATTTTGAACATCTAGCAAATCCTCATGAAAAGGCTCAGAATCACTACAATGAGGCATGTTAAAATAATTGCATTTCAGTTCAAGGGGTTGAGTCAGTTCCTCCAATTCTGAAGAGGATAATTCAGCCATGTTTGGGCCTGGAGCCAAATTTCCAAAATGTGAATATGGTACCTCATTGCTGTTATTATCAGGTAGAGTATCCACTGATGTGGTGTCTGCATTGCCATATATGCCAAAATTTTCAGATGATACTCTCAGCAAATGATTTTCTTTCAGCAGCCATTTGCCTTTGTCAATCAGTACTCCTTCCTCTATGTCTCTGAGGACTCTGTTATGATCATTTTGTTTTGTACCATGTTCTACAATGTCTCGCCCATCATAATGGGCCCTCACATCATTAAAGTCACATTTATCTTGTCTTTCCTGCTGAAATTCTTGCAACACAGATGAACTATTAGATACCTGTACAGAAGAGCCAAACGACCGAGCTTCAGAATCATGAAGACCTGCTTTCCCAGCACACTGAAATTCCATAGAATTGTAAGGACAAACCTGAGATCTATGTGAAGACCCAGAAAAAAAAGAGGGTTTAATAATCTCTGCTTTACCATAAAGTTTTTCTATTGTCCTTTTAACAACTCCTTTATTGTATTCTTTCTCTTGAGCAATCACCTCACCACTGTCATTGGGGCTATCACTGGATGTTTTATATGACTGCTCATTCTCACTATCTTGTCTATAGTCTGACCAATCAGAAGTCACTGGACTTTTAAAGCAGTTTTTAAAATCGAGAGAGGACTCTGAATAACTTCCAATTTCCATGCTTTTTGCCATCATTTTTACTCTTATTTTAGCTTCTCCTTCATTGAGTTCCTTTTCAATATTTTGCTTAGAATCATAGCAAAACACTAAAGATGGTGGTGTTGCCAGGCTCCTACTTATTGTCTCACAAATCACACCATTCTTTTTCTCTTCTTCTATAATGTTCCTGCTAGAGACGTCTACCAATTCCAAACTTTTACTAGCCTCTAACTCTTTTTGGATTGATTCTTCAGTGGCTTGCTCTCCTGTATTTACGTTTGTATTAAAGATATCAGTGCCCTGGTTTTCTAATTCTTCAAAAGATTCCAACTCTGAAACATTTCTTTCACTTGATGTCATGCTGTTGGTTATTGAGTCTGGTTCTTCAGAAGTCTTTGATTCTTCCTTCTCAGAAGATGTATATGCATTTTTATCCTGAAATTTCTTTAATAAACAATTTTGAAATTCATCTGGAGAACTATGTTCCTTATCAAATTCTGATTCACTTGCACTTAGGAAAAAGTCACAATGGCTTAAACTACTGGTATTTTGATGTGACACCAAAATATTTAAGTCTTTCTGAACTTCATTAACTCTTTCTAACTCTCCAGTCAATTCTAAATTATCAGTATATGTGCTTTCTTCGGAATTTAAAAAGTTATTGTTATTGCAGACTTTGATGGGAATGTAGGCCTCATCAATTGGGCAAGCTGCTTCACAGAGATGGTTTTCCTCATGAGCACAAGTTTTATGGGATGATACATCATCACTAAGCGAACAAACCTCTCCTAGGAAACATGCCTTATTCATGGAGCTCTGATCCATGGCACAGCCATCAGTAGGGAAAAAAGTGTCAATGGGGTTACAAGTCTCTTTTGGAGGGTAAGTCTTATTCACAATGCACATCTCACATGGAGAGCAAGTCACCTCTGAAACACACACTTCAGGGGCACAATCCTCACTGGCAAAGTTGCTTCCATCTAAAGAATATACTTTTTGCATTTTTTCATTTTCAATGCACTTAGGAACTCTCTGAACGTTGGGTGTGGAACAATTTGCAGAAGGATCTAGTGGAACCACATCTTGTTCTTTCTCAGTGAGTCCAAAGTGATTCGTGATTGACTCCACTAAATTGGCAACAGCAGCCTTCAAGTCATCAGCCTTTTCTGTGATGGCAATATGCTTCAGAACCTCCAACACCACAAGTAATTCTGAAGTTCTGCTGGTAGTCTTGTGAGCATCACCTTGACAGAAGCTATGCATACTTCCCTTTAGGTTTAGCACCAGGAGCCAAGCTAGGAGAATATTAGTGGATGAATTACCTATTGGGGAAGGAAAGGGAACATCTGCAAGTGAACCTGGAATTTGAACAACTCCATTCTGAGTCTTGCGAATACTAGAAACTAAAGCATGCATTTGGTGAAGCAACATGACTGGTAAGAGGTTTTTTGAAATGTCCTCTTCCACAGGATCTACTTGAATGGCAGCTTCCACACTTCGCCCTTTTGTAGCTAGGTTTATTTCTTGGTAAACAAGGCTTACCTCTGGTCCTGACTTTTCAGCTGATATCTGACTTTTGCTATTATGATCATCAAGAGCTGACTGTGACAAACTACAATATTTATGCATAGAAAGCAAATATGCACCATTCAGAGAGCCAACTTGGCTATCACAGAGATCTTTGGTAAGTTCTTCACTGTTATCTTTGTCAACAGATTTACCTTTCTCTTCACCTAGATTATCTCCTGTCAAACTGGCATTTTTAGTTATGTGCTTATTACCTTCCACGGCAAAATGACTTCCTTTTCCAGAACTTGTGTGGGAATTATTTCCTGGAAAACTACTGTTGCTAAGATTTAGCGTACTCCTTTCCCTTTTGCATATTGGAGCTGATTTTCTAGGTTGCAAGGTTGAATGTGAATTTATGTTCTGCAACCATCTCTGTATATAATTTTGAACTGAATGATGGGCAATATCCTCAGGAAAAAACGCTTTTTTCAAAGATGCTAAGGAATTCGCCCTGGTTGTAGCATGTTGTTTACTTACAAGAGTACCTAATTTCAACTTATCCCCTTTTTGCTTTTTCTGGCTTTTTAAAGTTGTATGTGAACCATCAACTTTTGAAACTAAACTCTTCTTTGCCATTCCTCTCAAATACCATGATGCCGTTTCTGCTTGAGCCTGTGGTCCACAAAAAGCACTAGGTTTCTCCTCAAGGAGGTTAAACACATGAAATAATTTTTTATTTTCAAAAGTCTTTTTGCAATATTTAAATTCATTATGGGAAAATACCTTATCTCCTTGACCAACTTCTCTTTTTGTAGGTCCTCCTAAGCTTACTTTGTTGAATGGTCTGGATTTTCTTTTGGCTAAAAGTCCTTGAACGTTAGGATTCTGAATAGTATTTAATTTATTTCTATGGAAATTCTTGGAATTCACAGGATTGAGATTACTTTTGGAACAAAAATAACTTGATTCAATTACCATATCACTTGTATGGAGGTCTCCCTCACAAAGTACCCCTCCTTTAAGGGGATTGTGTGTATGTTGTAATATGGTTTGCTGTGCAATTCTCCCTCCTGTGTTTTTTCTCTCACTTTTGCTAGAGATTCCTTTGGTTGCAATCTCCCCATTCGGATGCCTAGAAACTGTCACTTGGTGCTGAGATTTCATTTTCTTTTTGCTGGTAAGAGATGATGAAATCTGCTTTTCATTTTCTGGAAGTTTTGTTAAACCACACTGGGAAAACTCACTAACTAGTCTGTCAATTCTTGTGGTGACAGTAGAGGAGCCTACTGAAGCTGGGGTGTCAAATAGTTTTGGAGCCTTAGAAACAGTTTTGCCAGTCCCAGAGTTGTTACCTGAAGCATGAGTTGCATCTTCTACAATAGGACTGAACCTATCATTGGTGTCACCATAAGTTTTGAAATTTTTGATATTAGTTTTGTTGTCTGATGTTACACTATGAACTACACCTTCCTCCACAATTGAGTTTTCTGATATAGCCTGTGGCAAGCCATTATTATGGGACATCTCTAACATCTCTTGAGTTGTAATTTCTACAACACCAGCACTTACTCCACTTGACTTGAGTAGTTTGCTTTCCCTTTTTCTTTCTAAAGATGACTCCATCTGTTCATTGCTATTGATCTGAACAAGTACTGGTTTGTTAGATACTGATGACATTTTACTGCAAGAATGTGTGAACATGCGATATTCAGATTTGTTTTCCCCACCTTCCCTTTCTTTACTACAGGAAAACTGTCTAATCGTTTTCTCTTGAACTTCAGTTTCAGATACTAAGGTCACACTCCCTATCACAGACTTCTTTTGTCTCACTCTCCTTGGTCCAGGTGTAGGTGGCCTATAAAAATGACGCTTCACTTGATCCTGAGTTCCCTGGATAGCATCTGTGTCCATATTAGCATTCTCCCAACTAGCAGAACTAAAAGTTTCAGCCTCTTGATCTGTCATTTGAGTGTTTATTTCCTCCGCCAAACTGCCCTCTTGATTATTGCCTTTCTTCAGAGGTGAGACATCTGCAGACAATGCTCCTGCAATCTTTAAACCAGATGATCCATCATCTGTTCTTCCTGGAAAACTGCTTATCTCATTCTTTTCATTATTATTAGAAAGACCAGCTCTACTGACAGTGGTTGTCCATTTTATAGTTTCCTCCTCTTTTATCTTGAATTGAACTTTCATCTCAACTGTCATAGTACCATCTTGATTAAAAATAATTGATTTCTCAATATCATCTTCAGACGGATATATCAATAAATTCTGAGAATCATTTTTTTCTAAGGCCAAGTAATTTTCAGGAGCAAAAGAATTGTCTGAATAGCAATAGTTATTATGTATTTTGTCAGAAGAAACAGAATAATTCTGGGACGTTGGGCTTGAAGGCATATGTGTGCTCACTTTCAAGATTTAAGAGTAAAAGATGCCCCACATCAAAATATAAAGTGGATGGTAGAGAAGATATAAATATCCAATAGAACAGGCAGCAAAAAAAGAAGAAAAAGCAAAGAATTAGTATAAAAAAATACTCAATTTTCTAAATTTCATGGTAACATATTGTTAATATGTTTCTCATCTCTATGTATTCATTAGTTACTTGAGTTCAATGTAATTTCTATAAACTACTGTTAAAAAGAGAACTTATAAATCTACTTCAGTGAGGAGTTCACAGAATTTTAATTTTAATGAGTTTAATAAGGAAAGTATATATTAGAAATTGCTAAGGATTCTAGAAAAAGTAAAAAGATTTTTCTGGGATTTTGTTTTATTTTGTTTACCAGTATGGAAACTGGAGGCTAACCAAGTGTTGCTTACCTATTCAAACAAAGCAAGTAATAATTTATGGTGGTATTCATTTTCCTATATGGGCATATCCAAGAGAGACATCTAGAGCATACGAAAACTAAAACTTTTTTAGAATTCATATAAAAGACTAATCAAGAAATAATTGTTAATATTCACTTTGCATAGTCAGTGCAGTTGATTATTAATAGGGCACAAAAGAGAACAGGGCTAGACCTAGGCCCAGATATCTAGTTATCTTTTTAATCTGTGTCTCTGGAGACAACCTTGGCACTCATGCCTCTTAAAGTCAATCAAACTCCTGTTAGTTTATACAGATTTGCACAAGCTCGCCATCAATTAAATGCCATTAATGTTCCAGAGTATAAACCTAGCCATATTTTCTTTTATTTTTGGTATACTTTTTACCAAAATTATAAATGAAAATGTCTCTCATAATTTTTTAAAGTAAAACTTAATATAGCCCTCAGATTCCCTGCAGTCATCAAAAATCATACTTAGCAGCCTATATCAGAAACAAAATAATAAAATCATTTTAGTAAAATGACCAAGGTAAAACAGTACTACCATATGCTTAACAGACATCTGGCAGCTAATACCTATGAAATAGAAACATTAATAATTATCTATTGAGCATATCCATTAAATAAATGACAATAAATAAAAGATGAGCTCCACCCACTCTAGTAATATAGAGATTAAAATGCATATTATGCATACTTAAAATGTATATTATTCCATGTCTAGATAGAATAAAAACTAAAATTTAAGTATAAATGGCAATCAATACTTCAGCATAAAGCTAATTTATGGAGCACAATGACTAATGAGATTAGCCATGCTGCATGGGGAATTTACGGCATATCCCACACTCTTGGCCAAGAGGCCCTCCCCTTCTCCTCCATCCAAAGGATAATGCCATGCTGTTGAGCATTTCCTAAGGAATTATCAACCTAGATTATTGTTAACTAGCATGAATTGGCTACATGAACCTTGTTTTAATAAATAAAACGTGGATCTAAGGACCTGTGATTTTCACCGGAAAATTTCATAAAGTGCAATATGTACGTAGTTAGAGATTATAAAAAATATAGTCACTCAACTAACCTGCTAAACTCAGCTGTGACACTAGACAGTACTATTCAGGGAAAACTGCAACTACAAGAGATGTCACTTACATATATTCCATAAAATTCCTCTCCAAATCAAGAAATGCTGGCATATTGATTTTTTAACTAGGTATTATATGCCAAAAAAAAAAAGGATACTTCATCAATTTACACAGATATGTCACTGATTGATCTGGAAAAGTCTAAAGAAAATTATGACTCTTTCCAACTATAAATATAACCAATTTTTGTTTAGAATGTTTTAATCTCCTCATTTTCTCTGCTGTGATGAAGGAAATCGGTCATTTAAGCATGTTGTTGTTGAGGTAAAAAAATCTCAAGTCTAAAAATAAAGGCTATATATTTAAGTGACTTACTCTTTCTGCTTTCTGACCTAGCATTTCCCTTGGGGTGCACACGATGAGAGATCCCTGGTAATCTAGCAGGAAGCAAGTACTTCTGGATGTCATAATTTCCTGGTTTAAATGGCTCCCTTCCCGCTGCCACCACAGCTCCAGAACTCAGGATCACGGCCTGGAGACTGGGAACCTAGAAGAAACCAAAGAGTTATGGTCCTTACATGAGCGACATGAAGTTTTGTTCCTTCCATATGGTAATTTTATAACTCATTGAATCAATTCAACAATCTCTCCAGCTTGAAAGAGATAATCACCAAGCATTTGTCAGGCACGAATAATGTATACAAAATAACTAGAAATACTAAAATGTGTGTGCAGGAGGGTGGGGGTAAGACCAACATCCTTATTGAGCCCGCATACTAGCTGGAGGGAGACAGATGGGTCTTCCGCCATAACTAAAGCAATCTTTAAAAGGTATGCAGTACTGCCTCGGTCTTCCCCACCAAAGAATCCAGCTGTAGCCAACTGTCTACCCTGAGCCAGCTGAGAAAGGGCCTGGTGGGCACGCCAAGGCCGGGAAGGTGAGCTCTTGTGGCCACGCTGTCAGCTGCAGGGGAAGCTCTCCCCAGACCCCTCAACAGGAATCCCAGGAAAATGCTTTCTCTACCTAACAATATCACTTTTGGTCACTCCTTTTCAAGAAATATCGTCAAGACTAAATTCTGTGCCAACACATTACATAACTTGGAGCTCAGGGAAGACAGAAAAAGGGTCGGAGTGTTAGGAGCAAAAAGAAATCCTCGCGGCCGCTGCCTTATGTTCTGGGGAGAGACCCAAGACGCCACCCACACAAGTGAGACGGCGCCCTCCCACGAGGGTGGGAAAACACTGGCACGCATGCGCTCAAAGCCTGCCTTCTCGGGGGCGCCGTCCACGTCCAACACGACGTGAACTGAGACATGGGGAACCTCCTAATGCTCACCTTCCTTCCATCCGTGGCGTACAGCCTGGTAACCGGGCGCTGCATGACCTCTGTGAGGTGCCGGAGAAAGGCCTCGAAGCTCTGGGTGACCCTCTTGGTGAGAACGACCACACGCCGAGTCTTCGGGTCCCCATTCCGGAAGACCACGAGCCTCCGTGGGGCGCGCAGCATGCCGGGAGCGGCGGCGGGGACGGGGGAGCGGTGCGCGTGCGCAGTGATGGCCAGGCTGCTGTGCCAGGGCCGCCGGCGCCGGCGGGCTTTGTCCAAGTCCACCGGCTGTACCTTCCTGCCGTGAGAGCAAAGGTAAGACTCACCATCCTCCAGGTCCTCCAGGCTAGTGATGCTGTGCCTTCCTCGAGGGGTGCTGATGTTCCTCACGCCGAAAGGTAGCGGCACCTTTCTTGACAAATTATCCAGCAAAGCATCAAATGTCTTAAAGGAACGAGGGTTGACCACCACCCTGACTCCACCAAATTGTGGGTCTCCGCTCTTGTAAAAGCTGATCCTTTTGGCTACAACAGGATGAGTGACGCTCAAATGGCGAGAAGAAGGAAGTTGACCTTCAGAAGAAGTCGGATAAATCATGGAAAAACTAGTGGAAGGAGTTTCACTCATTTTGCCTGAGACCTGGAAAGAGAAGAAAAGAATTCATCTCCAGAATAATGGCACTATGAAGAATACGTGATAATGCTAATGCGAGCTAATTAAAGTTGTAGACATCCAGGCTATTCCTAGGATTTCATTCTTTCATTTATTCATGCATTATACCTGCTATTTTGGAAAATAATTTTAAGGAGCTTACAATAAAAAGACATAAATTGAACAGTTAAATAAAGGTATTTATAATTTAAAGATAAAACAACCTAAAAACACTAGTAAGGGCCTATCTAAATAAATTATGATATATACACCCATGCAACGGAAAACTATGTAACCGTTAAGCATGGTTTTATAGATCTTTGTTTATTGGACAGAAGAATGGTGATGACCTATTACTAAGTCGAAAAGCAGTTTGTAAAATATATATCCTATACCGTTGATTTATATGTATGCACATTTATTATACTAGCAGAAAAAAATTCCAGAAGTATATACAGCCCAATGTTGATGATGATTATCTCTAGATGGCAGAGCTATGGATAATATTTGTTTTTTCAATACTTTGCTAAATTTTGTGAATCTTTAAAATTAACAGGTATTATTGAACAATTAAAAAATAAAAGTTACAAATAAGAAAACTTCCATGAGAAAAATAAGGGAATTTTGCAATTTATTGATCTAGTTCTGCATTTCCTGGCAGTCAAGGAAAAGGGGGTAAACAGGAAAAGTTTATAAAGTTCAAATTGTCTTTTGGTTGGAACCAAATGAGTTCATCTAGAGGAAAGTGTTTTCTAACATTAAATTCTAGAAGGAATGTATCACATAAATCCTTTAAATAAGGGCCATATTAAGATAGTGTAAAATGTTTCCATTACAGATTGTATAAAATGCAGATAAATTATATAACATGCCACTAATCCTACTTTGGGAAACACTGAACTAACTGAATATTTTTTGAACGATTGACAGCATTGCTATGCACTGCTAAAAATGATGCAATCTGGGTACTGTTCCCGCTAGTGGTTCTAGCGTGAAAACTTCAGGAGGGAATTTAAGAGCCATTTTCAGCCAATCACTAAGGTTTTCCTCTTCCACTTCCAGTAAAGCCAGAGTCTGACTGACAAGTGAGCAGCTTGTGGAAGGGCTTATCTGGTTCTGGACTTGTTTTCCTTTGTGGCATATTGTGGCTATTTTCTATCATTTTTAAATCAATGTAATTATTAGTGTCTTTTGACAGAATAAGAACGCCCTGCAAGCCTTGAAGACAAATTGAACAAATAAATGTGATCAGTATTACGGAGAGGAAAAAGGCATGTTTGTCATTATAAATCTGGCCCAAATCACCTACTTAAATGTTCACAAGCTGTTGTGTAAGATTCATTTATGATTTGCAAATCTTATTTATAAGTAATTTAGGAAAATGCATTCAAAGATTGGCCTAGAAATTTGATATGTCACCCCTTCTCCCTCCACAAGCTATTTAAAGTAATTATAGTACTTAAGACAATAAAGGCAGCTATAGCAGGCATGCGCATCAGGAGCTGGGGAATCCAGCTTTGCAATGAAGTCAGCAAAACTGCAACCTCTTCTCATCCTTGGCTGATAAACTGTGGTCTGACCTTGGGCATGCTGCTTAATCTCTGTGCCCTCACCAACTATAAGAGGAATGATGAATTCCTTCAGTTAAATAAAAGGTTTCAGAACTCTTTGCCTCCAATTAATTTTTAGGTTGCTTTACTTATATATTTATTTGAAAATATTTTACATGAACAGTGTTTGAGATACATTTTTCACCTAATTTTGGAAAATTATATTTATCTGTATGTAAGTACATGGAGAGGCTTTTAATTTCAGTAGTTTTCTGCCTGGACCTCACTATTTGGAGAGCTGTTGACGTGGTGATTATGTTGGGAACACAGTTATGTGAGCTGATATGCTAAAGGTTTTGTTTTGGAGTTTTGTTTTTTGAGTTTTTTTGGCTAAAATAAGAGAAAGGAAATTTTGTGTTGGGACCAAGAGGAAGAACATGGAAGATAAGGATAATTGGAGGGAAGAGGTGGCCCTCATTGTCCCTGTCTTTCTGCTGCCAGGCCTGAGCACTGGTTTTGAGCCTGGTGCATGAAGAGAATCAGCTGAAGGTGCCAGGCGCTAGGAAGATGCTGTATGCCCAGCAGTGGAGATACCCAGCATTTGCACAGAAAGTACCTGCAGCAGGGTGGTTGCCAGGCACCTTGATGAGGAAGCTGTCGCAAAAATACAAGTTCATATGGTCCTTCATATGCATGTGAGAGGATCTCTGGGAACTCCTAGAAGTCACTGGGGGAAGTTTTAGAGAGAGTGTTGAGATTTTGCATACATTCAGTTGAGGTTTAAGAGCCTATGGTGAGGTGAGCATTGTGTGTGTATAACACAGAACCTGATGAAGATTCAGTTTTATCATTGAATAAAAGGATCTATGTGCATACAGTGCACAATATCGTCATTAGGGAAGAGAATGCAAGCCAGATTCCTTCCAGAGGAAGTGGTACAGCTTTTTCTTTGACATAAATAGAGCAGTATCTGCTAGTGCACACGAGCAAGACCAGTAAGTCTTGACGGTAGAGTGTACCATTTTGTGAAAGAGCTACCAGCGCTCCACAATTTTTAGTTACCCTGTCTTTAATTGTGCACCTTTTTAATAAGCTTTAAAAAATAACCAGAATTTGGATGGAAATTAGTGTTTCTTTACATACATTTTAAATAAAGTTTATTCTATGCTCTCTGAAGATGGATTAAAGCAGTAATATACTTAAGAACTATCTAGGAAACAAACAAAGTAGCCTAAAATGGTCTGATTCTTCTCCCAGCAGGTTAGGCTAGTGGAGGAGAAATGGAGGTAGAAAGAGGAAACAAGAGGAAACTGTAGAATCTTAAGGCCCTCTACTTTCCTCACCACTGACTAGCAAAGGACCTGGTTAACAAACTCTCTTTGCCTCCAGCCCAAATTGTATTGAAACCTGACTCTAATGACTTGACAGCTTGCTACAGATACCTTCCCCTCTTCTCTGCCTTCTCTTCATTGCCCAAAGTTAGACAATAGAACTATCATGAATATTTGTATTGCCTTTTACGATTAAGGAGCATTTTTTTTAACATCCTATGGTTCACTAGGTTCAGCCATGATTATACTTATCTGTGCCATCATTGGTCTCAATCACCAGTACATTTGAGTCTGTGCTGCTCAGAGCTAAATAGCTGCCTCTACCGAGAGGTCTGTACCTTCCGTCCACCACTCGCTTGACAAAACAGATAAGAGATTTACAAGATGCACACCAATTCATAAGCATTTCTTGCCTAGACAACCTTAAATCCACGCATATTTATGTTAAAGGAAAAAAGTTGTTATCATGCTGCTAAAAATGAAATAGTTTGACATTTTATCATTCTTTAATAAGTAATCATTTCACTAATTTATCACTTTGATATGTAGTCATTTTACAAGTTATATTTTAAATTTAATTTTCTACCAACTAGGAGGAATTCAGGCGATTCAGAAAGAAGAATGAAGTAGAAAACAAAACAAGAAAATTGGTATATTCATAATGTTGATTCTGTGGCAATTCAGAGATTTGATATTGCAAGAAAAATTAGTTAATTTCACAGGTTATCGTAACTCCATGGGCTGGGATTGGTGAGGGGGTGGCATTCAGGAAGGAAATACAGCAGTTACTCCCCATGGCCATCACAGCATTGTTGAATTACAAGCAGCTTCCTTCTTTTTCAGCATATTGCGTAGATTTCTCTAAGGAATAAATAGTGCCTTTATAATAAGAAAAAAAATAAACTTAGTCGTATTTGAATAAACTAGAATTTCTTGATTTCCTGATACTGAAGTTCCCTCCTACTTCAATTTCAGCATATGTTTATGGCACATTTGGGTAAAATATAATTATTAGCAATATTCTTTTTCTAATATTTAAAGATTGAACAGAAATATGTAATCTAGATATAAAATGAAAAATAAAGTACAACTAGCTAAAAAGATTATTTGCAAAACAAAGATTTCAAATAGTTTTGTACTTACCAGAAATAGAAACTTCCCTTATAAAGAAAAAGATATTTTAGGTTGTTTGAATAATTCACATAAATGTCACTGGATATGTAACCTGCTCATTTCGTGCAAAGAAACTAATGTCTTTGGATTTATTCTTAGTGTATCCACTCAGGGATTGAGTATAGCCAATTAATTTAATCCAAGGTGATGCTAATCACCAGACAGAAATCACCTTAAGGGGACCACTTCCAGAAACAAAGCAGTTCCTAGCTTGCTCAACAGTTCTGAAATCTTCCTAATTAGAGTTTCCCTTGCATTATCTTGCTTACCTAGTATCATTCTCAGGAGAAAATACTTTGCCAATTCATAAGCATTTCTCTCTCTGACAACCTTAAATCCTCATATATTTATGTTAAAAGAAAAAAATTGTTATCATGCTGCTAAAAATGAAATAGTTTGACATTTTATTATTCTTTGATAAGTAATTCTGAGTCACTCTGCTCATGGTAGTCATTAAAAACAAAAGCCCTAAGCCTTTTTATTTTTAATTTAAGCACTCCTACATTGATGTAGTTCTAATGAAAATGGCTGTAAGTGTACACAATTTGGCTACTCAGCATAACACAAGACAAATAAGAGAGGCACTTGCAAGATGAAGTTATTTTATGCTTCTGCATACACAGCACTCTTCCACTGCTTTGCTTAATCTTGATGGAATTTGAATGTTTCAGACTTTGTCACACAAGAAGTCCCCAGATGACACCTGCTGACTCTAATGGCTGCCTGCAGTCTAATCTGATTGAAGATACCTCACCTAATCAGATTTCTTACCAGCTCTAAATCACAAAAACAAGGTAAGGGTCCTTCAGGAAAGAAGGATCAGTTTCAAGCATGTGCTCCCGAATGTTGTCTCCAAACAGATAACAAAAGGAAAGATTATGAAATTGCACACTTTGCCTCGTAAATACTGACTTTGTAACAAGTCACCTGTTAA